TGATTACGCCTTGTGGTGGTCCGTCCATCGGCGTCCCGTTTGGCCCGTTGAGGTCCTGGGGGGCTGGCTATGTTCCCCCTTCAATATACTAGTCTAGGTGACCAGCAGCTACTAATTCTTCCAGATGTTGCCTCAAGGGTGTGTAGTTTTCAGTTAAGTGCCCCTTCTTATCATGAAAGGTGCAACGGGACCTCTCGTTGTAGCCCCTTTGTGCTACTCCCAACTTGGCTGGCCGCTGAACAAAGGGTTCGTTTTTTATCTCGCTGAGAATTTGGTAGATGGGTTTATTGAACACGGTGGTGACGGCAGTGCGAACTCTCAACTTCCTTTTCTCTGGGTCCTCCCTGTTGGCTCGCCTGTCTCGTCCATTCTTGTTTGGTTGTTCTACCGTGTTGACTTTTGCTGCAATCTTTTTGTCTGGCGTTACTGTTGAGCCAAATTTTGCTTTAACCCGGGCGCTATCTTCCTCTACGCGGATATGTTGGTGCACTCTCTTCATTAGGGCCTCCATCGTAAGGGGTGGCATCATAGTAATTGAGTCCCTCAACTTGTTTCAGACTGGCAGACCTCTTTTGTATTGCGCGATGGTGAGATTTGTGGGGCAATCCTCTATCTGGTTGAAAGTCTCCCAATATCAACTATTGTAGGATCTCAACGTCTCCTTGTTGCCCAGTCAATGGAGAGTAGCTGATCGATCTCCACTGGTGTCTTGGTGTTCATTCTGAACCTAGTCACGAATGCCTCTGCCAATTGTGCCCAGGAGGCGATGCTGTCTTCTAGTAGCCTTTCGAACCAGGTTAGACCTAGGTCGCCAAGGCTAGATGGGAACAGGATACACATCAGGGCCTCATTCCACCGGTATACTGCCATAACCTGGCTCAAGTGGCTCAAGTGCATGTATGGGTCCGTCTTTCCCTCATAAGTAGTAAATTTGGGCTGGTGGAAGCCTGAAGGTAGTGGTGCGTTCTCTATTGCCGGAACGAAGGGCGAGCTTTGCAACCTTGCTAACACCTTATCCGCTGGTTCGTAAGCAAGGCGTGGCATTGGCATCCCTACCTCGACACTTCCATCTGTCTTGGGGGCCAATCGCTATAGTACTGAAACTTTGCGTGCGTCGCGAGCCCTAGAGTCCTCCTTCCGTCGAGACCTTTCCTCGAGTACCGACCGTAAGTCCGTTGACCTAGGCAATTCCGTGTGCCTGTAGGTTGTCTGGTGTGTGTGCGAGGGGTAATAGTTGCTTCCCTCTGTATAGGAATTTTCAATCATCGTTCTCTCAGACCTGGAGTGACGAGTCCTAGAAGTCCTTAATTGAGTGTCGCCTGTTCCAAGCCTCCTGCTTTGTGCTTGCGATGGGGTGACCTGCTGCCTGTCACGGTCCTCTGAGTGGCAAGAGGGCGTGTTGCCTTTGTGCCCCTCTCCTGTCGCCACCTCTTTTCCTTTTATCTGGCACTTCATTGACTCCATATCTGCCGCCATCCTCCTTGTTAACTCGTCTTGTTCCCTAACGCGATCCTCTAGAACCTGGGGGTCCAATCTCCGCTTCTGTCTTTCAGGACTTTGAGAGCGACGGGGGCTGCTGCCCCGTCTTCCCCTTGCATCCCTCCGGGGGTTCTGTCGCTGGGGTATTAGATCCGCCATGGTAGGGATAGAAGGCAAACCTTCACGCCTCCCACCCCCCTTCGGGGTTTGCCCATCAGTGGCTGATTGTGGCAAGTCTTCATTGTGCACCATTGCTTCCAACTAAAGAGGAAAGCTTGATCAAGAGGTTTTGTTCTTTGTGAAATTCCCACAGATGGCGCCAATTGTACGAGCACGAAATAATGTTCTCGTATAATCCTGTTAATCAAGTATGCACTCCTCCAAACGTCATCACTTTATTCCTTGAAAACACAAATGTGAGCTAGCCGGTGGGTGTGTACTGGATACCTCTCCGATGTCTAAGTCATCAAAATAGACAAATAGATAAAAGTTCTGTGTATTCCAAGAATCAAACTTGTGTTACCTGTACATAGGTTCTGTTGTGAGCTTTTATAGTTTTTTCCTAGCACAATCCTAGTACGACTCTTATTCCTCCATGCAGAGTTCTCCTAGGAATCACACACCTGAAAGATAATGCTTATTGTAGACACCCCATTTTTGACCGCCCTCAAGACTTGGACGTCATCGTTTGAACGCGTGATGATCATCGATGATCATGTTCGTTTGAGTTCCTGAAGGACTCGGCTACGCGCCTTGCCTTAGGATCTCTCAACCTGACTGTTTTGTCTTTGGTTGTACACCAAGGGCTTGTGTTTTGTACTTCTGAATGTGGGAAATGGCTTGTTAGCCATCCTTGAAACCCACCGGCCTTGTTTTACTGCCACCGACCTTGTTTTACTTCTATCGGCCAAATGTTTGGCCGATCGGCACCATTTTGTGGTCAGCCGGCCTTTGTTTTGGTCAATCGACCCCTTTGTTGGCCGGCACCTTTTCTTTGCCTTTTTCAGGCATTGTGCATGCCAGCTGTGCCAGCTGGTGAGCACAAACTCTGCCCTCTATACACGTGTATGGAGGGATTTCATCATTGTTTAGCTTCCCTTGGAAGCTTTGCAAATTTTTTTTTTCTATATAAGGAGGGCCTCCCCTCCCTTTCCAGAGGTTGAACAACCTGTGATATATGATCTATATCACTCTCTCTTTATATCTCCCTCTCTCTCTATATATATATTTGTGTGTGTAATAGTGTTCTAAAGGGGTTTTTGTTCTTAGTTTTGCACTAAAACACCTAGAGTTACACTATACTTTGGTTGCTGAGGTTGTAAGGGGCTGGTTTCAGAGTTTTAAGTTGGTTTTGATCAGAGGAAGGGGCTGGGGTTGGTGTTCTTGAAGTGTTCTTCAAGGGTGAGCACTATTGCTTTATATTCCCCATTTTTGTACAAGCTTTTAACCTATCTTGCATGCTGTTTCGAGCTTAGTGTATAACTGATAAAAGTTTTTTATTTTCATGCTTAAGATGTTTCATTATGGTCACCTTTGTGTTGGGGGTCATCCACCCCCTCTTAGGCCTTGTTTGGCTTCTTTTTGTGTCCTCTTCTTTGGGCTTTGTAACCCTTTTGTTTTGCCCTTCTCTACCACTGAACCCCTCTCCCTTTGTGTCTCATTTGCTTGCATTTAGGGCTCATAAAGGTAGCATGTTTGCTTAGCTTTATTTGGCTCCATTCCAGAGGTTTTTTGGTGTTATTTGGTCATATTATATCTCTGTTTTTGGTTAGATTGGTGGTCTATTGCATGCATCATACACTTGCCTTGCAATCCCCTCATTTGCCTAAACATGCATCATGCATTTAGACCACCATGCTTGCATGTTTTAGCTTGACTTCATGAAGCTTTTAGCTATGTTGTGACATGCTTAAGTTCTGTTTTTGGTCTTTTGGGTCATGCTTGCCATGCTTTGTATAGCCACTTTGCATTTTAGCTTGTTAGGTTTGGGTGTGTGAGTCATGAACATGCTTCATTTGGGCTATTTCAGTGATTTGGGATCACTTATCATGCTATTTCAGTCCATGTTTCATGCTTGTATACTTGCATTTGCCATCCATTCAATGCTTTGGGGAGGTGTTGTTTCATGCTCCATGTTTGGACCATTGCATGTCCCTCCATGATTAGGTCTTTGGGAGACCTTCTCATTGGGTTTTGGGGCTTATTTTGATGTGTTTTAACTCTGACTTTATTGGTCTAAGTCATGCCATGTTCGGTTGTTAGAGGTGTAGCGCATTTGCCCTTTTGGCCTTGTACACGTCTTGTTTTGTGCTCACATTTCTAGCATGTTTTGGCCCCATTCCATATGTGTTTTGGCTTCATTTTGGTCTGCCTCGGGACTATTTTGGGTCATCTTGCCCCTTTGGGGCTTGGTTGACATAGTCATGGTTCAAGTCCCTTGGCTAGCTTTGAACTTTAACTCCATTAGCACGCCTTGCTCGTGTTATGCGTGTGATTTGGCATCACTTTTGGCATCATTTCAGAGCTTATTACATTGCCACATTCTCATGTTTACCATGTCTTGCTCATGCTTGAGGATGGTGCTTTGTTGCCTAGCTTATGGGTCTTCACATGCACGTGTGAGTTTTTCCCTTTTGGTGCCATGATGTTGGTACTATGGCCATTGTTTTGGCATGGCCGAGGTCCACCCATTTCAGTTTAGGTCCATTGAGCATGTTTGCTTTCATGATATTTGCATACTTGCATTGTACCATGTTTGCATGCTTGGTATATCACATGATATTTAGCTAATTGCAATACACAACATTGTTGGCCTAGAATTTTCTGGATGCGTAATTGTATAGTAAAAATTAATTTATATAGTGTAAAGTACATGTAAAGTGTGATGAAAATTAATTTTTGAGTTAATAAAGGTGGGTTTGTAATATTACTCTAAATATAAATCATCCAGTCTTGTTTTCTTTTCCTACATGACAACAAAGGAAAGGAAAGGAAAGGAAAGGAAAATAATTTGGTTCATGAACAGAGGAGTTTACAGCTAGACAAATGCATGAAGCAATGCCAACCAAAAATATAAGAACGAAAACTCATTCTCACTAAACAAAAACAAAAACAAAAACAGCAAAAAAAAAAATACATATTACGTATAATCTGTCTTCCTACAAACAAAATTAGCAACAATATCTAAAGCTGCCCTTTTCAATGAAACATAACACAAAATCTAATCGAACCAACTAATTTTTGCCAATATACACTGATACATATATATAGGCCTCGCAGTAACCATTTTCTAGGGCTTCTTGCAGCTTGAAACAGGCAGAGATACTTGCCTGGTGGTTTTTGTGATTTCAGCACCTCCATCACTGGTATCGGGCAACTTGAAAACTACAGAATTTCTCCAACTGCTTTGAGAAGCAATACTTGAAGAGAAAACGGCTCCAATCATATTATAATTATAAAAATAATTACAATTCTACTTGGCTGCAAGCGAAATCAAGATCAAAGAGCATTCTTTAGATGTTTTATAACCACTTTCTCCAACTACCTGATCTTTTATCGGCAGAAAAAAACCTGGGAATACTTAGCAGACTATTAACCCTTGTAATACCTTCAAGGGCAGACCATTCCTCGTCTTCCCCAGTTGAAAGGCACTCGGCTAGGCTTCTCCTAGATTGGCCCAGGCACTTTTCAGGAAGCTTTTCCTCGTTTGACTCAAGAACAGGAACAATCTCACCAGAGTCTTTGAAAGTACCCGATTCCTCAATAATAGAAGCATCAGAAGCTGAAACACCACCACCAATAGCTGAATTCCTGGTGTCCTCATTTGTCACAGAGATTATCTTTAGCACCGTCTCAGTATCCTTTGTCAAATCATTCTCTGCTGGAGCTGCATCGGGTACTGGCACGTGTTCTAGAAAAAGGCATACAACAGCGCAATCATCATTCTTGGATGTGGGGTATTTGAGCCTCCATGCTCGAGTAGCACAGTCAACAAGAGCTCTAGCTGCTGTTACACAACCTGGTGCTGAGGCAACTATATCTACAGCTTCCTTGTTCGAGAGGACATCCCAAACCTGTGTCATAATAATATGTACTTTTAAACACCAATGAGATTGAAAAACTACCGACTTATATACGAGTTTAGTGGGCAACTGTCATCCCAAATTATTACCCATGCAAAATCCAATATTTTTCTTTCCTTCCTTTTTTTTTTTTTTTTTGTTGTTGTTGTTGTTATTATTTTTTATTTACACAAAATCATCCCCCTAAAGATCATGAGAAAAAACAAATCAAAATTAAAAGTAAAGTTCCTTGATTACACTAATATGAAATAACAGAAGAATACCCCATCGCTGGCTAAAATAATGAATTCATCTCTCTCTGTAAGGCGGTGGTAATAAATGTCTGGGACAGATATCAAACCAAAATCCTTTAGACAGAAGTCTCCAAAAGCTCTAGCCATGGCCAAACCAGGTGAGTCACTATTAGGCAACCACACACGGGCAACCTCCGGCTCATCTTGCAATGCGAAGACCCTTCCCTTGCACTGCTGGATCCTAGCAGCTTCCCCTAAACAATAAGTAAAAAGTAAGTTTTGAGAGAGAGAGAGAGAGAGAGAGAGAGAGAGAGAGAGAGAGAGAGAGACTTGGAAGATTAGGTTTCAAGTCAACAGTCAACTGTATAGCAGTCAAAGCATTATCTTTATCCCTTGTAGCCAGTACTGCTCTCGAGTCTCCAACATTTCCAATTATAAGATCCTGACCCTGAAAACAAATGGTAAAGTGATAACATGATGTAAGATCAATCTAAATCATCTCATAACTTTTGAATATGATCTAAGAAGCATGGATATGGACACGTAACACGATATAGACACAACATGAACACACCAACACAACAATTTTCATCCTAAATTCGTACTTTTAACCACTAAAAAACAAAGCCCTGCAACTTCTTTACTGATTAGATTGTACAGCATTCCAGATTATACCAACAACAGTGGTCATGTCTGGTCTAGTACCATGCAGGTAGACTAACTAGCCAACTAGCATCCTGTCAATTTTTTATGTCTAATCAATAGACAGCAAATACCAATCTGTGAACTGTTTGCTTGCTTATACACTTACCATTCACCAAGATATGTTAGGTGAAATGGTTGATAACATGAACTTTCATGTCTGTTATCCTACTTTAGTCACTCGCAATAGCCACTATCTAAACTATAACCAAACCAAACTAAGGCTTATGTCCCAATCAAATGGGGTCGGCTAAATGAATCTAGTATCCAATTGTGAAGATAACTTCAGTATGCAAATTTTATCTGCAATTGTTCAATACCAAAATAATTCAAGCTCATAAACATGCTTAATCATAAGTGATTCCAAAACTTATAAACATAACCAGACTCTTCCCTGTTTGCTTAACAACAACCAAAGGCCGAAACATCATTTAGAATGTCTGTTGAATTTATACATTAGTTTGACAATTGATGACGAGGTCCCTTATGCTTTTATGCCTTAATGCCTACTGCATGTCTAATGCCTTTCTTTCATTATCTGATATTAAGATTACGTCAGATGTAGGCCAATCTTTTCAAATACTACCCAACATTAACAAAATTTCCGGATGTATGTCAAATTCCAAATTCATCCCATGTTTAGCAATTGCAAAACAGGTCCAGTTTAAAGTTTGAAACTTCTGTGATCCTTTTCAGTGTTTCCTGTTCATTCCCTTAACTTTTTTCTTTCAACAACGACAACAACAAAACAAATCAAAAAAAAATTTACAAAACGTTGAGTGCTAAATGGTTTGAGAATACAGCATAAGAATTACCTGCTTTACCAAAGCAACAGCAGTTGTTCCACTGCAGAAACAGTCAATTGCTGAATGGAACTTTAATTCCTTATCCATCAGTTTGAAAGCCTTTAACATTGATTGTTTTAGTGGCAGGTACATTTCAGGGACTTTTTCATTCTCCTCAACCTCCAAAGATGCACACCAATCGTCATCCACGCATTCCTCAAAATTTGAACTTTTGGTAGCATTTCCATTCTCACTTCGGTCACTTTTGGAATTAGCTTTCCACTGAGAGCACAGCAGAACAGGAAGGGAATCTCGAACTTTTTTTGCAACCATATGACCATAAGGACCATGACCATCAAACACACCACAAAAGACTGTATCACTTCTTGAACTGAAATTCTATTGCAGAAACATTCCAAGCAAGTCATCATTAACTGACCCAATAGAGAAGAACAAAGATTATCAAATATTCGAATCTAGATAAGATAAAAAAAAATACCCAATAATCATGCCGTGTACTGTTGCTAATCTAGACATAGCGAAATAGGATAACCCAAGAGCTAAAACATGATAAAGAACCAATAATAGCTATCTCAAATACAAACATAGGAAGCTCCTATCAAGATTTAGGGTTTAGGGTTTCTTTAATGCTAAAATCGGGATTCGATAATCACATTGAGCTACAATTTAATTTGCATATGCTGTTCTAGTACAGAAATTCAGTACAGAACATGAAAAAAAGTAAATTCTGAGCCACATGGAGCCAAGATAACAGAAATATGCAGATACATATGGTGCGAAGCAGACATAGAACAGCAGAGAAAGAGAAAGATACAACCTTTTTTGTCTCTCTTAAAGCAATACAATGCTGAAAAAGACAACTCCAAGTAAATTGTAGAAGTGAAAGAGAAGGGCACAATAATCAAAGTTTATAAATTCAGCTATACAACAATGATATATATTATACACACACACACACACAC